TAATTAATATAAAAAGTATAATAATTAAATAAAATTTTTTAACATGTGTTACATATGCTTTTAAAACATATGTTAAATTTCATTAAATATAATATTTTTAATTAATTTTACATAAATTTTTATATCAAATTCAATTAAAATAAAATATAAAACATAAAATTAAAATAAAGTATAATATTTATAAAAATATATATATCTGACATATAAATTTATACAAAATTAATTATAAATTTTATAATTAATAAAAATTAACTTTTACTCTTAAAATATAAATTAAACAATTCCTAATTAAACATCTAACTTGTGTACAAAGACAAAAGTTTCCTACAAGAACTGTCTCATTCCTTATTTTCCAAAAAAAAATAATAATAATAAAAGAACTATCTCACATTTGCAAAGATAATGACTGCAGGTTGCTTTTTTTAATTTAGAAAAGCATTTTAGTTAATGAATGATATTCTTCGGGAGTTGGTACCGATCGGAGCACGTGGTGAAAACCAATTATAGAATCAGAAGAAGCCAATCCCGTCCGTCTGTGACACACCGCCGTATTGTAATTCCAATTTCAGCACCTCATTATTCGGAATTAGGAATATTAAATTAATCTTTTTGGTAACAGAACATTAAATTATTATCATTATTACCATATATATATATATATATTAAACAATTTATCAAAAAGACGAACTTAAACTCATCCAAAAAGAAGTGAGAATGCATCTCATAAACGCAAGGTGTAACTTGACCCGAACGGCCGGTGCTACTACTACTACTATATTTTGACGGAGCTGGTCAGCAAAATATCAGTGACAGCTCAATAAAGAATATAAACTTACATGCATTTTCTAAATTGAGGACAACTGCTTTTTTATTTCTTATATGAGGACACAACGATAAGGCAATTTACATAACTTTACCTTAAATTAATGGATTTCATTACTTGATGAACAAAAGGGTGTTTATTTAGACTTTATACAAACAGCTATTATCTATTGAATTTAATCAAATAGATTAGATATTTTAAATTATAAATACAATAATTATCAATTGTTAAATATTTACTATTAGTTATCAACTGTATAAAAAAGGCTAATCTAAACAGCCTAAAAGTGTTTGAATTAGCTTTTTAAATATAGTTAATAATTAATATTTAATTATTAATAATAATAGTTTTTTATAATTTAAAGAATACAATCATTAAATTAGGGTAATAATTAATTTTGAAATTTTAAAGAAAACACCCCAACATGGTATTAATTTATTAAAATTGATGTCATTACTCTAATTAATAGGTCCTACCCTGCACCTGGCCCTTGCGGCCTAGTGGCAATAGCCAGGTGCATTCCCCCTCTTCGGGCTGAATTCAAAACCCGTTCAAATATGTTCAAAAATAAAAAAATAGGTCCTACCCTAAACTCTAATTAATAGGTCCTATCACTAATTGTCAACTATCTAAATGGTCCAATAGTAAGGTAAAAGGTTATGGGTTTGAGTGATATAATATAAAGATGAGTAAATTAAAGAATGAGAGAGAGGGATTTCCCAATATATTATCCCAAATAATAATAAAAAAAGGTCCCATCACGAATGATGAAATTACAATTTTCATTCACTTTAAACGCATATGTAACATAGGAAAAAAAAATTATATTATTTGTGTCCTAAAAATGGAAATAAAATTTTAATGTCCTCAATTAGACATTGAATGCAAGTTATCATACCTATTAGGCTATTTTGCCTTGCTTCATCTTCTCAACTCCGCGGCTCCTCGGTGAAACAGCTAATGGTAACTGGATCGCGTTCTCTCCTCTTGCTTTTCCTTGGAAGAAAGCATATGCACTCTTCGAAAACTCCATTGAGGTACAGAGGGAAGGAGAGGGATCTGTAATTTATCGGAAATGGCGGATGATGAACCTGCGCTCACTCGCTGGACTTTTCGGGTAATTTCTCTATTTCTGTTTGGTTTCTGAGAAAACGAAAGAAAACGAAGTAGGATTATTGGAAAGTACGTAGATTGTTTATGATTAATAGAGAGTAATAAGAGCTCAGCTTGGCTGAGCTGAATGCAGTTGGATAGTCTAAAATTTTTTTTTCTTTATTGAATGAATTGGTTGATTTGAGTTCCTCAATTTCGTGCCAAACAAACTCGACGATATTTCTTTCGGTGATTGCTGTTTATTAGCGACTTAGATTGGGATTTGAGAAATTATCTGTGGATTTTGGATTCTGAAATGCCTTGAATCAGTGTTTGACGAGATAATTTTCATTATTTGTGTTATTTTTGGACGATGTTTGGATGTTTGAGAGTTTCCATGCTTGTTTTTGTGAATTTTGACCTAACTGGTGAAATTTGGAGGCATGTTTTAGGCGTTTATTTTGAGAAATTATGTTTATCTATAGGATTTTGAAATCTTTTATGATGACAAGTTTGGGAGGAAGAGAATACCTGAGTCACAACATAATG